TTATCGCTCCACCGCGATGGCACCGCCACTGGGAGCTTACAGTCGGAAATTGGAGCATATTCTCACTTAGAGGCAAAGAACAAGAGTTAATTGATGAGGCCATAAAGTACCAACTCGACGCTGTTCGACTTCCGTCAAGGGGAAATGCCAAGGCTCTGGACTCCTGAACCTTAACGGATGGAAGCTATTCTTCTCAGGCGTCGATTTCACGACTCGCGCTCATGCCGGTGATGGTGTTCAGGTAGAATCTCACCTTGCCGATAGAATTATCGATTGAAAGCCTGTTAAGGGTGGTAGTCCTGCGACTGTAGCTACAACAGGCTAAAGCTCTGACCTTGGTACGGGTTTATGAGCCCAATTTGGATGGAGAATATGATACCATTCTTGAGGAAGTGGGCGATTTTCATGTGCACGTCAGAGTAGATGCTGAAAGTGGAATGGCGTTGTTGTAAATAAGGGCCCCAGCGACCTCATCAACAGCGTCATAAGTTTGCTGCGGTTTTGTGCAAACAACGGACTGTCCATTATGAACACCTTCTTCGATTGTCGAACCGGGCATCAGTATGCCTGGTATGGGAGGCTTGTGCACAGAAATTGCTAATCGTCTGACTTCAAACAGTCTGTAATGAAGTTTCGCATTAAGAGGCGTAAAACTCTCATCCGATCACCTCGTTGTTGTCCTCACACTCCTTTACAAATGATGGAGTACCGTACGAAGACTTGTCTCCAGCTCACTCGGAAAGTTCCGCAGTCAATGCGACATGGCCGACGTGCTGAGCATGTCTACAACACAAGCCTTGTGATTTCTTGACTTTCCCGGTGCACTCTTCACATAAACAGAAAAGGAGTTAAACGGGTGGAGAAGTTCATGCTCGTTCGGGTGTTATTCAGCGATGATGGATATTCAGAGGATAAGATGGGCCGGCGGTTTGGAGTAGCCTGTGGCGTTTTGAGTGAGCTCTCTGGAGTCGTTGTGACTAAAGCAGAAGTGAGTCTGAAGATTAAGCTCTGCGTCGATCCTCATTTACGGTCATGAGTCGTGGACCATCACTGAAAGGTGGCTGAAACAGGCTTTATGAGACGAATTGCTGGCATCACGAGTCTCGAAATGGTCTGAAGTTGAGGAATCTGAGAGAGCCTTGGTGTATTGCTTCTTCAGATTGAGAAGTCACAGCTTCGATGAATAGAGACACTGGGTGGTGCGTATCTCTCGGCGACCCAGAAAGATGAACGGTCATCGAAACTGGCCGTCTGACCGACTGCTCCTACCACAGCATTTGATATCAAATCTTAACATTTCACTGATAATATCGATCTTAAGATCTTCATTACTGTCGCTTTCGGTCTTTTGTTTTCAGCTTTGTTTAGTTCTCCCATATAAGAGTCATTGAGAAGGATGTTTAGAATGACCCTGTAAAACATTTGGACCATCTGGACCGGCCGGCAATCGGTGACGAATCGTTCTGACACCAACAAGCTCTCCATTCCTCGCCATTTCGAGCCTTGTCCCTCCAAGCACCTCTTTCTTCAATCCTAAAATAATCCTAACCGCTGAATGTATTTAATTAAATACCGCGCCAGGAACAAAAGGATGAGTTTTCTAGAAAGTTCTGTACGAACCGGTATGAATCTATACTTTTTCTGCTGTACCAGTTAGTAGCCAGAGGCATCCTCAAGGCGACGCATTCAGTGCATGAAGATCAAATAGGATCTTTCCAGCGAGTTGCGGTGTATTCTTGATCACAGATCGATTACCTCTATCGCCAGAGTTTCGAAGCGTCTATCCCCGTGAACCGCGACAGAAAGGGGCAACGTCTGGCGCATATATTCGCTAAGGAATAATTGATTATTTTCCAAATGTTAATATGCGTATTTCTGATTTAAATATGATTATATAGTGATAACCAGCTTTTGACGGTTCCTACCAACGATTAAGCACAGCATTAGTCCGTAAACCACTTGAAGTGCGACGATACACATGACGTGAAGGTGCTGAACTTCAACCAAGTGATGTTCTGCTCAAATGACACATTAAGTCTCTAGATCTAAAAGGCCTGTGGAGAAACGATTACCAGCCAGCTTTATCGATTGAATCTTCTAGGCATAAATTTGTGGTATTCGAACGTTTAACTTTGTATAAATTCAAAGAAACCTTTTGCAGTTGGAGGCATGTCGAAAGAGAAGCAAAAACTTTATTCAGAAAGATACTGTATGCAGGGTTGCCCTAAGGGAAAAAAGTTTGTATTGATTGGAAAGCCAGTCTTCCTTACAGGACCAGGATCGGACCATTTCTGGCGCCCTTCTTTTCATGATTCAAGTTAATGATGGGGCGCTGATTCCAATTTCCATGCCTTCCGCCATAATTGCCTTGTGTTTTTAAAGGCGGAGTCTACGGCACTTACTTTGCAAGTATATCTGAAGTCTTCTGTTTCCTTTTGTTCCAATGTTTGTCATTTATCAATTTCTGAAGCAAGAATGGTGAGTGACCCTGACCAGGGTTCGAACACTAAGACGTCGAATTCAGGACCGTTAGGCACTAAGAGAATACGTTTCGCTTTGACTCCTCAACTCATGTCATCCCATTGGCTGAAGAGAGATGGGGTAGGTGCAAAACGAAATCTGATCACCTGCTGTGACACTGTATGCTGCCTAATTATAGACGAAACTTTATTTATCCATAGTATTGTAGATAGATGTAATGGTAGCGGATGGATTTCCTCTGCCTTCAGTGCAAAACCGCTTGAAAGACGGTTGAGTTGACTTCAAACAAGACTGAATCGGATCGCAAGACTGAAGTGTACTGTATGTATTTATCCTCAACGATAGAATTTACTAGATAATAATATCGAATGGAACTGAACCTTAATGAATACTGGAACCCCAAAGGCAGCTGCGACGATGATCGCGAGAAGTTTGCCGAGAAACCAAGGCGCTGCGCTGCGTAGAGTCCGCCGAGGTTGTAACATCAGAGAGTGCGAAAGGAAGAATCTCAGAAGAGGCAAAGATCTTGCTAAACAAGCGGAGGAAGGTAAAGTGAAACAGGACCGACACAGTGGAGTACTCTCTTCGCTGCATGCTCATCAGACAAAAGCTTAAGGAGGAGGTCGTGACCTCGCGATTGCAAGGTAAATTAGAGAAAACGGTCAAAGACCATTAAAGCCTCAGACAGTGAGGAGAGAGCGGCGCTCCTGATCAGTCGACCATCACAGCGTTGGAGGAGACGGAGATGACGTATTCGGGTCTGATAGAGGTGAGATGCGGCCTACCTGCACAGAGGTGATGAAGGTTCCGTCGAATTCGCTGGACATCGTATCGATGTGCTTGATCTGGGATGAACTGAGCTGAAGCAAAACGAGTAGAAAACTGCAAGAATCTAGCGTCTCGTCTCCAGGCGTCGAATTTGAGGACAGCCTTACGTCACTGTTCATCGACAGATATCTGAGGACTGCAAATGAACGACTAGGAGGAAAGATTCTGTGTGCTGTTTTTTTTGGTACAGCAGTTGTGCCTGATTTGGGAGCAGAACTGTGCCTCTGCATCGAAACTTCCATACACATCCTGTTTTCCTCACCTTCCCTCACCTAACCTTACCTAACCTCACGTACCAAGCCGTGATGAACCCGTTTTGTACGAGTCAACAGAAGCGAAGGCCGCGTAACGCACACACATCAAAGCTAGCGTCATCATCGGTGTTTACCATTTGTGCCGAAGAAACTACGTCGGATAGTTCGTTGATTGGCAGAGCTGGTCCTCGCCACCGGAGGGAACAATGTCGATAAGCCACATTCCTCACGTGTCTTACACACGCACGAGCTGCTTGCCAAGGAATCGCGTGTGCGGAGCGAAAGTGACGGTGTCGCTTTTCTTGCCTAGGCTTGTGTTTGTCTGCCGATGAAGACGATGACGGCCGCTTGCGTTGCCAGAGCCGCATCAGAACTCGTTCAAGTTCTGGTTGACTCGAGCCTAGCCTCATTCCATGCGGATATGCAGCACCACATCAGATCCACCTACGTTTTATTTCGTCCCTCCGTGCACTTTACGAGGTGTACATAACCATCACTTGCCCTTATGACCAACTGAGCCAATCAGCGACAGGTGAACACACGCCCCTTTGCCGACATAGACCACCTAATTGTTAAGGCACTAAAGACTCATGTCATTGTTTCATGATTCCTTTGATGAGGTGTATGATGAGTCAGTAGGTTGGGCCGAGACCTCATAGAGCAGACCACATTTGAATACGGGTATGGGACAATAGAGAAAGTATCGATAGAGGTTCATTGATAGCACGTCGATGGCAGGGCCGGGGAAGTGCAGTGCACAAGGCTTGTCTGCAGTTTTACATTGCTGTGTTATCCCTCTGAAGAGAGGGTGACACTTTCTGAATTGTGCTGGCCGCAGAGTTCAACGAAGACCGAAAAAAATGTGGAGGCAGTCGTATCGAACAGCCGACTCCTGTTAAAGGTAAGAAGAATAGGAAGAAGAAGATATTTCGGTCATCATTGGAAAGAAGGTTTATTCTTTATCATGGATATGTTGAGATAGTTAGTTTGCTGATTTAATGAACATTTCTTTGTTGTGTTGCAGAAATAAGAAA